CCCCAAAACCCCAAAACCCCAAAACCCCAAAACCCCTATTACTTCTTCTAATTTGAAATAAATTAATAAAGATTGAAAATTAATGAAAGTTGTGCCTATGCAGCCAAACCAATGTAAGCTTCTATTAGAAAACCTCCTGTGTCGTGGCAAAGCAAACTATGGGCCTTAAGGAGGTATTTCTATGACTAGATAAACCATACAGAATAATGGCTTGGACTTACTCAGATAACTTACCGCTATGCATTCTTGTTGACTTGGTTGGCGTTAAAATAGTCCACACTGCTGATTAAACTGAGATAGTACACTTTACATATATTCTTAGTTAATGTCCCCAAGATATTACTCTAATACCTCCTATTACTTTTTGAAGCTTAATTCTTCTAGCAGATGGACATAGCCCAGATGCATATTTGGAATTAAAACTGACTAAGAACATTGATAAAGAGTCTTATTTTGATTTTCTCTCTGGAAGGAAAGATGTAGAGACTCATAAATTAAGAGGCTCTGCGGTTCTCCACCTGCAGGTGGAGAACCTCACCGAGCCTCATAATGCAGCAGTCACTTTTCTATCAGTAAGATAGAGTTCTAAATAAATAGACTGCTGAGCTCAGAGATCAGGAGAAGCTAGAACAGTATTCAAATTATTTCTTGAAAATTGGAGCTTCCTGAAACGGATATTTATTTGAGCTTGGAGAGATTGCTAATGATGCCTCTGAGCAGGCCAGGAACAGTGGTGAGGTTCTACAGAAAGAAGATACTCAAAAACTTCCAGTTGGAAAGTAAGGTGGACATTTTTATTATAGGTCAGCGATTTGGGAAGTGATTTCTCAAGCGCCAACCACAGTACACGGATTTAGAGGGTCTAAAGCTGAGGAGGGAGCTTTGGTTAAATTTGGGAGAAATTTGTTCAAAGTTGCAGAAATTGGAAGCAGAGTTATTAAAAATTCAGCAACTCATCTTTCGTATGACCATAGACCTATGGATGATATGGACCAAGTAGGGATCTTTACTGGAAGAGATAGTATGGATAGTAGTTTAAATAAAACTTCAAGTAAGAAAAACAGTTGCCGGGTTTGTCTTGAGTCCCAAAATACAGAAGACGATCCCCTTGTTCATTTGTGAAATTGTACAGGGAGTGTAAAATTCATCCATTACCAGTGTCTTCTTCAATGGATCGAGAGCCAGAGGTAAGCATAATTACTAACTCTCATTAGGGATGTCACTCATCATAAATTTTATTCTTTATATAAATGGAAAACACTCAGCTGAGAAATTTGTAAATCTAAATTTGATGATGAAAAATTGATCGCTCTCACAGGGGTAAATTATAGATTTTACTTCCTATAGAAATCAATGTTCGAGTATGATTTCCCAGAGACAGACCCATACCTTGCTCTTGAAGGAATAAAAGAGAAAGAAATCGAGCGAACTTATGCAAAGATTATATTTTTAATCAAGTTTGTTGATAACAAGCACAAGCTTCTTTTAGGAAGAGCTTCAGACGCAGATGTAAAGATCAAAGACATCCAGATTTCACGATTTCACACTTATTTTCATCTAGTTTACAACAAAAAGGGTGTTCCTGAGATATGGCTGGAGGACCTCGCATCCAGATTTGGAACGCTTATCAGCAAAACTAACATTCCCAACATAAACGCTTCTTCCCCAGTCGCCTGTTTTCAGGTTGGATGAATAATGATTTCAGCCAAATATAAGAGAAACAAAAATTCTTGCCTCTGATTTATTGCCAAAGAGAAAAATATCATGGCTGGCTTCAATTTCGTCAGCCATAAATCCTACTTTAGTGCTGAAATGGGCAAGCAGATAATGGCCTCCATGGAGAGGAAGACATCTAAGAGCATGGCCACTAATTTCCCTCTCCGGATTTCCAGAGATAATGATCAAGACAAAATGAACTGGGATAATCCTCTTGAAGCAATCAATGAAGACCGAGGTAAATTCTTCTCTTATTTTTATAGATTGGGAAAATAATGATCTGGAAGAACGGAAAGTCAGTCGGAGGCCTTCAGAAGAAGAAGACCCTAATTTAATGATGAAAGACCCTCATAACTTGCCAACTTCAGTACATTTTCCTAAATAAGGCAGCTTTGTAACTTAATTGTAACCTTTAGAAACCCTAAACCAGACCTCTCCTCCGATCTATTAAAAGAAGAGTCAAAAGAGGTCATTGATAATGAAGTAAAGACCAAAATTAACTTTTAGGCTAAGCAATTATATGAAGATTTCCAAAAATATGAGGTAGAAAAACAGGATTCTCCTGACCAAAGTGAAAGGGAGTCATCTGTTGACAAATTTATTGAGAATCATGAAATCAATAGTTTATTCCCTTCCAACACCTAACCAAAGGGTCTAGCTGGCTAATTCCCCAAGCACATATTAAAGGTCCCAACCTGACACTTTCAATTTAGCTCTTGAATATGGGGTTTTGGGGTTTTGGGGTTTTGGGG